GCTTCTATCAATCTCCCCCTCAAACCTATTTTACATCAAGAAAGAAATTTAAAAAAAAAAGATTTGATATTCTATGGTGGCGCCTTCACGCTATCAGTCTTGAACGCTCCTGAGGCAGTGCACAGCCTCAATTTGTCAACACCGATAGTCAACATGTCTTACGGGTTCTTCGATGCTGGTATCTTCTTGAGGGAAATAGTTTCTTTACTTATCAACTCTCGGATATGATGATACCTCAACTGGATATGCTTCGATCTTGCGTGAAACACTGGATTCTTGGCAAGATGAATTGCACTCGGGCTATCACTGAATAACTCACAATTGTCATGCTCTTTACCTAGCTCTTTAAGAATTTTTTTTAGCCAAAACATCTCTTTTCCAGCTTCTGAGATTGCCATGTACTCTGCTTCAGTGGTATATAGAGCAACAATTTTCTAAAGTCTGGACATCCAGCTAACAGCAGTACCACCCAAGGTGAACACGTAGCCTGTGGTACTTTTTCGACTATCCAGATAACTGCCTAAATTTGCATCAACAAAACCTTGTAAGATAATATTGCTCATTTTAAAACAAAGTGCCATACCTGAGGTGCCTTTAAGATATCGCAATATTCATTTTACACCTTCCCAATGCTCCTTTCCTGGATCTGACATGTATCTACTAACAACTCCAACTGCATATGCTATGTCAGGTCTAGTGCAAACCATCGCATACATTAAACTTCCTACTGCTGAAGCATATGAAACTTTGGGCATGTACTTCCTTTCTTCATTTGTCTTAGGTGATTGGTCCTTTGACAGATTAAGATGGCTTCCGAGTAGAGTGCTTATGGTCTTTTCATCATGAAGACTGAACTTGGTTAGTACCTTCTGTATGTACTTTCCTTGAGACAATTTTAAGGATCCTTCAGATCTGTTTCTGCTAATCCTCATCCCAAGCATTTACTTAGTTGGTCCTAAGTCTTTCATTTCAAACTCCTCTGACAGTTGTTGCTTAACCTTGTTGATATCATTTATGCTAGATCCTGCAATTAGCATATCATCAATGTATAACAGTAAAATGATATAGGATTTATCAAGATTTTTGATATAACATCAATGGTCCATCTCACATCGTGTGAAACCATTATTATGCATGCATCCATCAAATTTCTTGTACCATTGTCGGGGTGCTTGTTTCAAACCATTCAAACTCTTCTGCAACTTACACACAGGGTTTTCTTTACCAGAAAGTTGAAAACCTTCAGGTTGCTTCATGTAGATGTCTTCTTCAAGGTCACCATGCAAGAAAGCAGTTTTAACATCTAGTTGCTCCAAATGTAAATTTTCTGCAGCTACGATACTTAGTACCAACCTGATAGTAGTTAATTTTACTACATGAGAGAAAATCTCGGTGTGGTCAATCCCTTCCTTCTGCTGAAAGCCTTTTACTACTAATCGTGCTTTGTATCTCTTCTTACCATTATGCTCTTCCTTGACCCTGTACACCCACTTATTTTGTAATGCCTTCTTTCCTTTTGGTAACTCTATAAGTATCCATGTTTTATTCTTTTGAAGAGAATTTATCTCTTCTTTCATGGCTAGCTTCCACTTATCAAAGCTTATCACCTGCATTGCTTCAACAAAATACTCTGGTTCTCCAGCATCAGTCAGAAGTAAATAGTGGAGAGAGAGTTAACCTATCTGGAGCATTCATGACTCTTTTAGATCTCTTTAATGTAGGTTCAGGATTAACTGATCCCGAATTTGATTTAAGTCCTGACTCCAGATCAGGTTCTCCATCTGATTCTATCTCTGGTTATGGTTCTGATTCTGATCCAGATTCGGCTTCTGGTTCAGCATCTTCAATTTCAGATCCAGTTGTAGTCTCTCTAGCCACTTCATTTTCTGAGATTTCTTCTAACTCAACTGTTTCAGATTTCTGTCTACTGGTACTGGTTGGTTATACTTCGAGCTTGTCCTTGTACATCACATTTTTATTAAATGTGACATTTTTGTGTCTTAGGATCTTTCTATTTTGATCATCCCAAAATCAATAACCAAAATTATCATCATCATAGCCAATAAAGAAATATTTCTTGGCCTTATGATAAAGGTTATCTCTATCATTAGAGTTTACATGCACAAAAGCAACACAACCAAAAATTTTCAGATGTGAGAGAGTTACCTCCTTTCTTATCCATACCTCCTCAGGAATTTAAAAATCCAGTGGTACAAAGGGTCCCTTGTTTATCAGGTAAGCTGTCGTATTAACAGCCTTGGCCCAAAAATACTTCGGCAATCCAGAATATATTCTCATACTTTTGGCTCGTTCATTTATGGTTTTGTTCATCCTCTCAGCAATGCCATTTTGTTATGGTGTTCTAGGAACTGTCTTGATCATTCTGATCCCATTCTCATAGAAGAATGCTTTAAACTCTTGACTATCATACTCTCCTATATTGTCAGACTTCAGACATTTTAACTTTAGACTTGTTTGATTTTCAACTTCAGCTTTCTATCTTTTAAAGGTAACAAATACATCATATTTATTTTTCAGAAAATAAACCCATACCTTTCTTGTGGAATCATCAATGAAGGTGACATAATAGCGTGAGCCTCCCAGAGAAGTTACAGGAGCTGGTCCCCACACATCTGTATACACTAGTTCCAGCTTCTCTTTCTTTGGCGTCCTTCTTGCCTTTGAAAAACTAACTCTCTTTTGTTTCCCGTAAATGCAATCTTCGCACAAATCTAATTTAACATTCTTTAGGTTTGGCAACTTTTCTTTGGATGCCAACAATTTCATTCTCTTCTCACTCATATGCCCGAGCTTCCGGTGCCATAATGTTGTATCACGTTCATAATCAACTGTTGCTATAATATCTCGTTGTATTGCAGTTGCATACAATGTTCCCTTCTTGAATCCTCGAGCCACAACTAAATTTCCTTTGGTTATCTTCCACGATCCGTTACCGAATGTTGTTGTATATCCTTCACTGTCAATCTGACCCATAGATATCAGATTTTTCTTGAGGTGAGGAACATGTCGCACATTTTGCAATTTTCGTAGCGTGCCTTGTGAAGTCTTTATATGAACTTCACCTTTCCCGACAATGTCCAAAGGTTCTCCGTCTGTTAGATAAACTTTCCCAAATTTTCCAACAATATAATTATGCAATAATTCTTTGCATGATGTAGAGTGAAAGGATGCACCTGAGTCTAGAATTCAAGATTCGACTTGACTGTCTGCACAACAAATTAGTGCATCACCGACTTGTTCAGCAATTGTATTTGTTGAATTATCATCCTTGTATTGATCATTCTTCTTCTTCTTTGGCTCTCTACACTGACTACTGTAGTGACGCTTTTTTCGCAATACCAACATGTAATGTCTTTGCGATTTTTGGATTGCCCTCTTCTCCTTGACTTTGATCTGCCATGACTATGGCTTTGTCCTCTTTGGCCGCTTCTCCCCTGCTTTCGGTATTCAAAGAAGATCCTGGGGAATCACTTGATTCTCTCCGACGAATATCTTCGCTTAGAACCAAGTCTCAAATATTATCTAATTTGAGTTTGGTACTTCCCGATGAACTGCTAACTGCAGTTGCTGTTACAGACCAACTCTCCGATAGAGATGATAGTAGAATCAATGCCATGACTTCGTCATCGAATGTTATATTAACAGAACTCAACCGAGTTAATATTACATTAAACTCATTGATATGTTCCGTAACAGATCCACCTTCTATCATCTTTAAGTTGAACAATCGACGCATCAATTAGACTTTATTTAAAGCAGATGACTTCTCGTACATATTTGATAACGCCTTCATCAGGCATGCAGTGGTCTTCCTATTAATGATGTTAAATGCCACATTTCGTGTTAGCGTCAAACGAATCACACCAAAAGTTTGGCGATCTAATAGATCCCAGCCCGCTTTGACCATGTTCTCGGGTTTTACCTCGGTCAGAGGTAAGTATAATTTTTTCTGGTATAAATAATCCTCTATTTGTATTTTTCAGAATGCAAAATCTTTACCATTGAACTTGTCAATCTTAACCTTCCTTTCTTCCGATGCCATTTTTCACAAAAAACATTTATGTGAATAGTAACGATGATCAATAATGTCACATTATTTTTCTGAATTGTACTTGCACCAATACCGTATTTTTCTACCAGAATTACACTGTTTGTGCTCAGATACCAGTTGTTGAGAAATATGCCAGGCTAATAGAAGGGAAAAATATTTGAAAGAGAAAAATAATAAATTGCACAAGACAAGACAAGATAAGATTTACGTGGTTCAGCAATTTTGCCTACTCCACGGCCACACAAAGAATAACTCTTTATTAATTGAAGAGAGAAAGAAGAAGTTGAGGGATGATTTGCAAATGAAAATGCATACCCTTTTTATAGCCATTTGAATGCCCTGCCGACGTAAGCGCTTACATCATAAAAATGTCGATGTAAGCGCATACATCATAAGAATGCCGATGTACGCGCATACATCATAAGAATGTCGATGTAAGTGCTTACATAATAAGTTCATCTCTTTTTTACTTTTCTTTCTTTTGTTTTGTCTATTTTTATTTCTTTCACGTACAACAACATATTTTCTACTAACACGCCCATCATTATAAACTACCACCACCACCACCACCACCACCTTCCTCAATCATAGCTACCACCACCACTCACCATTATTAATTATCACCAACCATCACTATCATCCTCAATCATAATTGTCACCACTACTAATCATCATTAACTACTACCATGAACCACCACTATCAACAAAATTACCACCAACCATCGCTGTTAGCCATCACCATCAATTACCATATTTTTGAAAAATTATACATATTTTATTGATAAAATATTAAATTAATTAGTATTTTATTTGAATTTTATATTTATTAATTTTTAAATAAAGATAAATATTATAAATTTAAATGTTAAAAATGAAACAATGTTAATCATTTATTATTTAGATATTAATATGTGTGTCTTAACGTACTAATCTTGGAAAAAAACAAATGAGCCAATGTTCTTCGTGACCTAGAAAAGCTAAAGTGAAAAATGATTTATTTGCGGCAAGGCTTGAACTCAGATGCTTGAATAACGATTGATCCTGCTTCACCTCTGAGCCACCCTTTCATCATTAATCAAAGCAGGTTCATCTTTCTTTTATATACACAGATTTACGATGGATTTATACATAAAATACTAAATGTTTTCGATTTGAACCCATTTGATCTAATATAGGTCCGGCCCTGACGGAGAGCGTTGAAATTAGGCATAATTTTTGGGTATGGAATAAAGTAGCACATCATTTAGCAAAGGAAGGATCCAAGCTAGCCAAACCTTGTGACTTGGTCATCTACCGGGTTCCTCCTTTATTTGTTAATTCGACCGCCTTGCCGGATAAAGCAGGAAAGAATTTTGGGACATCGATTTCAGCTAGTAATTGAAACTCCAATGAAGACGACTACTCCTCTGCTTATATGTCTTCTCCTATTCGGTTGGTTCTTCTTTCATGTCTCCTCTGCTACTGACTTACCCCTCGGAATCCATCCTCTAGGTTTTCCTCATACCGCTGAAATTCTCTTAAAATTTCTTGAATCAGCTTCTATAAATTCTTCAATTTTAACTACTCCGTTTTTATTTTGCAGATGAGAAGTACTATGGTTCGGAGGTAATCAAATGCAAAGATGGGTCTAATTCCTTTACCAAAGATCGCCTCAACGACGATTTCTGTGATTGCCTCGACGGAACGGATGAGCCCGGTACGCATTTTCTTATATTAATTAAACTATGTGACTTGCCTATAAGCTTAAACTTTAGAGAGATACAATAACAACAACAAACCTAGTGCAATCCTACGATACGAGTGGGGTCAGGAGGGTAATGTGTATGTAGATTTTACCCCTACCTTAAGAAGGTAGAGAGGTTGTTTCCAATAGACCATTAGAAACAACTCTTTTAGAGAGATAGCACATTCATTTATTTATTTTAGGTTTGGTATATGCTGGAATGAGCTTATATTTTTTTTCTTGGAATAAACATGTGGAAATATTATACTTACTGATGTGTTACATTTAGACTCAAGCCCTGCTGCTCTGTGCATATTGAATTGTGTGAACTATCTTATCTAAATGTTTACTCTGCTGAGGGAGAACCCTTTATTTTAGGTTTGTAACATCCACTTGTTCATTACTTGTGTCTGATATATTGATAGTAGTATAAGTATGCAAAAAGTTATAGGTAGATTCCCGTGTGGATTTGTTTGCATTAACTCCTAGGCCGAAGGATCAAACTTCAATACAGAAAACTCCATATATTGGAAGGCCTCCAAGCATGCGCAAATCACACAGTGAGATGGAGAGCTCGCCGATGTCAATATAAGCTGTGTTAGTTGACGGATGCCATAGTTCTGAAAAAGGCCCACAAGACATTCTCATTGAGGTCAATGTGAAGAAAGAAGCAAAAATGGTATCATAACATCTTGATGCGTTCCAAAACCTCCTTATTGTGGCCAAGGATATCTTCTGCTCATTTCCAATAACAAGTCGTGCCCCGAACCTCATGGAAGCTAGAATGAGTATAGTTCAAGTGGCAAAACCTTAATCGGAATATTTAATGCTAGCAGATATAACATTCCTCTCATGAGTTGATGATTTCAACATGAGAAACTGTGTTGATGACCTTGCTTGAGAAAGTTTCAAAAAATTTCATGTACCACCTTCAGGCTTCAACTAGGCCCGTTCATGGATCGGATCGGATTGGATTTAGCACTTTTCGGATTATAATTTTGGATTTCGGATTTTGTAAATTGCAATTTGAATCCGTAATTTGGATTGGATTGGATTTTGATATTTGGATCGGATAAATATTTCGGATTTCGGTTCGGATTGTACGCCTTATTAAGATGCTAAAATAAATAATTTTAATATGCTATTTCCTACCATTTTCAGTAGCAAAACTCATTCATTTCCATATCTTTTACTTTTAATATTCAAAAAGGCAAAAACACTGAGATAAATAACAAAGAAACCTTAGAATTTTTAAAAGAGCACTCCTCACTTTTATATGTAAAATATAAATTTCAGTTTTCAGATCGGTTTGGATGTAAATTGAGCTAAACCGCATTCGATCCGATATCCAAAATAATTAAATTAAAGATTCGAAGTCCGATCCAAAGAGCTAAAATCCAATCCAAACCAATCTGAATAACACGGATCGATTCGGATTTTCGGATTGACCCAAATAATGGACAGCCCTACCTTTAACCATTCAGAAAGGTGAAGGAAAGAGTCATTGGTTTTCCTCACTATCCGAGAGGCACCGATCATCGGGATGAACCCTTCAGTGCAAGAAATTTGTGAGGATTGTGCTTGTCACTAATGATCTCGAGATAATGGATGTAGAATCTCGTGTTTGCTTGATATTAAAGTCGTGTGTTAGTTCTCAAAGCTGCAAACAATGAGAAAGGAAGAAAGAATTGAAATAAAGAACATGCTGCCTAAAAGATAATGCACCAGATTTTAACGCTAATATTTAAAACTTACATGTGTAAATCCAAATAAATTTGGGCTTGATAATATAAGTTGTATTTCCTGAAGGTTGCTTTTTAATGGCACAAGTAACTTATAATTTGGATGTGTCTTGAAGGAAGTATGTTTTTTCTCGTCAACATACTAAAAGCTGTGAAAGTAATGTCCAAACCTAGAACTGCCTTTGGAAAAATACATGTGGAAATTCAAAGAGAATTGAGACATGATTCTTATTTATTTCGTAGTTCTTGAAGACTGCTTTCCACGACACAAGTGGCTTGTAATTCGGGCTTGCCTACTATGGAATACGAATTTTTCGTGAAGACGCTCAAGGTTGCAAAAGTCATAATGTCCAAGTCCAGATTAACTTTGAAAAAGTGCTTTCGTAAATCTAGAAGGACTTAGTTTATATGTCTCATAGTTCCTTTTTGTATATCTTCTAGTTCCCGAAGTCTGCTTTCCAGCATCGCAAAAAGTTTACAATTCCAATATATTTACAGAAAATTATGATTTTTCAAATGAAGACGCGCAAAATAAAAGGGTTCAATGAATCTGAATTTAAAATTTAGTTTCGAAATTTACCCCGAGAAAATACATGATGATTCTTACATGGCTTTTATATATATGATGCAACACTGGAAGTATAGTTTCTATAGTGCAAATGGCTTGAGTTTAGTTTTGATGATACCTTCAGTTTGCGTGTCTTTACGAGAAAAATCATACTTTTCAGTAGACATATTCGAATTGCAAGTTGTTTGTGCTGTTGGAAAGTAGACATTAGGAACTAGGTACATATAAAATTTTGATTCTCTCTGGATTTACGTACGTACCTTTTTAGGTCGCTTCTGAATTTAGATGTTTCGACCCTCATAGTATTGAGCGTCTTGACGAGAAAACTCATATCTCATTGGTGGCGCGTCCAAATTACAAGCTTCTTGTGCCGTTAGAAAGCAGACTTCAGCATCCTTCTAAAAAAAGAAAGCAGACCACGAGAACTACGAAATATATAAGAATTGGGTCATGATTCTCTCTGGATTTACATAGGTAGTTTCTCAAGTAAGTCCTGTAATTTGATGTTCTAACTCTCATAATTTTGAGCCTCTTGATGGGAAAAGTCATATTATGGTGTAGGCACGTTTGAATTACAAGCCGCTTGTTCCATTACTAAGCAGACTTCAGCAACTATAACATATGTAAATCAAACCCAACTTCTCTTTGGACTTACATAGGTAATTTTTCGAATCCCAATGTTATAATCTGGAGCTAACAGTGGCAAGTGGGCCGGGCCCGGTCCTAAGTGGGCCAGTCCTAAGTGGGCCGGTCCTATGCGGTCCGGTCCTAAACGGTCCCGGGCTTCGCGGGCTTATTGCTGGAACCGGCTCGGGACCGGGACCACGAACTAACGGTCCCGGGTTAAGTGGGCCAGTCCCGGGCCTAAGTGGGCCTAAACGGGCCTAAATGGGCCCAACAGAAACTTTCTGTTTTTAATTTTTTTTTTAATAAAAGTTAGAGAAAAAAAAATTGTAATAAAGATATATAAGCTATATTCGATTTATATACTATATATACATCTTAAAATATATATATACTATATTATATATACATAGTATACATCTTAAAATATACTATATATACATCTTAAGATATACTATATATACATAGTATACTAGATATATATATATATATAGTATAGTATAGTATTTCTTAAGATTTATAAGCTATATATATATATATATATATATATAGTAAGATGTATATACAGTATATCTTAAGATGTATACTATCGAATATGATTTATAGTATATATATATACACACACACACTATACTATATATACATAGTATATTCGATATACTCGATATA